AGATGCAAAGTTTGGATTGGTGGAGAGGGACGAAGAGTTGCAGAGGTGGATCGACACCTCTGGGAGAGAAAGTGCGGTATCGAGATATGGCTGGCTGCACCAAACTCGCACTTTATGCACGTATGAGTACGTACGCGTGCTTCGAATACTTGCAACGATCGCGTTGCTCCGGAAATTTAATACCGTAACACTTAACAGGGCAAAGCTCTCCGTTGACCTTTCACTTTGGATAGTTTGATTTCTCGATAATTGACCGATAAAGTTCGTATCTGTTCTGAGCATCATACATGAAAAAAGGGCAAAAACTTTATCATCATTTAAAGAATTTTATTACTGACATTTAAATCCGAAATTTCATTTTTATACGTTCATACGTTTCTCATTTTTTATTTTTCTTTTCTCGTTTACTTCTTTTTTTTTTTTTTTTTTTTTTTTAATTAAAAAATATTTTTAATTAAAATCCGTTTGGGCATATATAAATTTTTTTCTTTTTTCTATCTCTCGAAAAGAAAATATTTTAACTCCGTTCAAAGTGTTCTAACAATTTAGATGAGATCTTGATAATAAAATGGGATCATTATAATGAATACAAAGGGCAATTGAAGTTACACGTTTTCGTTGTTCCATTTCTTTATCTATCTTCTTTCGACGAAAAGTGTTCATGAAAGAAAGAGAAAGATAGAATGATCGGTGGTAAGAACTTATCTTCTGTAGCAAGCAACACACAGAGAACATACTTAGTTTGCTTATCTACTGCTCGTAAACTTACCAACGATTAGCATCACGAGTGTGCGCTCCATTGAACTGTCCTTGAGAAATAAAAAAAAAAGAAAGAGACAGAGAGAGAGAGAAAGAGAGAGAGAGAGAGAGAGAGAGAGAGAGAGGAAAAAAGAAAGAAAGAAAAAGAAATTGGTAAGGTGAAAACAGAAGGACGAGTATTTACTCGGAATGTAATAAACTTGAGAAGTTTGCGGTATAACTATATAGCACCGTTGCCATAAGAGGAAAGATCGTGAATCGGACTGGTTGTCTTATTTGTGGTAAGGGATAATTAAGTTTGTACTCTGTATGTTAGCTTTTTTTTTCTCTCTCTCTCTCTCTCTCTCTCTCTATTTTTCTTTTTCTTCTTCTTCTTCTTTCTTCTTTCTTCTTTTTTCTTTTTTCTCTTTTCTTTTTTTTTGTTTTTCTTTTTTCCTTTTCTCTCACTCCGGACTTACTGTTTTACGTGATACGAAAAAATTATGGACTTTAAAGAAAGTCCCATTTTAATCCCGAAATATTTTCTTTTCGCGTGAAGATAAAGATGAAGGAACAAAGGAAAAAAAAAAATAAAAAGGAGGAAATATCAGGCAATAATAAATAAGAACGAAAGAGAAAGAAAAACAAAGAAAAAAAAAAGAAAGAAATGGAAAGAGGACAAAAAGAAGCAAAAAGAAAACAAAAAAAAGAAAAAGGATAGAAACTTCGAAGAGCAGTCGTGATATTTATACGTCCAAACGGAATCATTCGTAATCAATGCGAAAGCACGCATACGAGAGTATGATCCCAGGTAGTTTTTAATCCGGCTACAAGCATCCGGCTAATAACGCAACGAGTTACATCGCGTAAAATGGTACGGCTGTGAATCCATGGTCGTTTTATTTGATGTCGAGGGTAATGGTACTGGCAGGATTCGCTTGGATCGTACCAACTCGAATTTGTTTCTCATTTTTGCTTCTCTCTCTCTCTCTCTCTATCTATCTCTTTCTATCTCTCTCTATCTCTCTCTTTCATACATTTCATATTTCATAGTTTCTCTCATATTTTTGGTATCGTTACGTTTGCAGTATACGTACACATATGCAGTTAGATATATACTCTTTCTATGCGAAGTTATCCTTTTGTTTTGGGGAGGTTTTTTTTTTTCTTTTTTTATATAAATGAGAATTTTCTGCTCTTGTAATACAGTTCTAAATTTCTTGATATACATACATACGTACATACATACATATGTACATACATACATTACGGTGAAAGTATAGAGAAAGATATTTGTAAATTTGTTTGAGATACGTGATATTTCACGATGTCAGAGAACAGTTACATTTCTAGTGACTGACAAAGGGTTACACGGTTAATATTAATAAACAAAGTTATTTGGATTAATGGAACGACCTTTGTCTCGTTTCAGATGACACGAATTCGTTGGTCGAGGAGCTCGTCGTTGAGGCCGGCAAGAACGTGACGTTGAATTGTCCAGGAGTGACGGAAGACTCTCTGGTGTATATGCTCGAGTGGCGAGCCAACGGTATGCAGTTACTCGAGTGGCAGGCTAACGGGATGCAACACGAACATGCCAACAGGGGCACCGATGTTTGGACTCATCAGAATAGGGTCTCTCTCTCTTTGAAAAATTATGCTCTACAATTTCATCCTGTCACAGCACCGGACTCGGCCAAGTACGAGTGCCTAATAAACAATCGTAGTACACCGGATGCCGTCATTAAGCTCATCGTTCAAGGTGAGTTATTTGTTTCTTCTTCTTTTTCTTTTTTAGTATTTTTGTTTTTTTTGTTTCTTTTATAAACACAACGTTCTTTCATTTTTGTCTACGTTGTTTCATGTTCATATTGTACTTTTTAAATATTCATAGATTTTCAAACACGGGAATGAAAGAGAATACGAGAGTTTAAATCTATGTACATAAGTACGTATACATGTTAAATTTATACTCGTCGAGTAGCGAATAACAAAGATTTTGTTATTTTTGAAGAAGTCCTTATTCTCTTGTATACGTTATGTATATACATACATACGTAAGTGAATATTGTAATAACAAACTCTATACGTCAATATTTAAACCTATGTATATTATATCTATTTCTAACTATGAGTTAAATGTTAGATATATATATATATATATATTAACGTACTTTATATAATCATTTCCTTTCTTTTTAAATAAAGATAAAGTCTTATTGATTATCATTGTTTCTTATGAAATCAAGTGGTAGTTTGAAAAGATAGTGATTGTAGCGTTAGCAGATATTGCTTTTAGTAACTGGAAATTTAGGAAACCTTACATGTAGATCTATAGGGACTTTCAAAGGGTACCTCTTTACTAACGAAGGCAATTTGCAGGCCTTCTCAAAGTACGTTCCAACTATACACCAGTAGCGATCTTCTTGTAACCCCAATATCGTTGTTTCAACGATATTGGATAAACTTGCCGCGAGGGGTTGCGTTCCTCGTTCGAATGTGAAAATGGTCTTCGTAACGGTCGAGATAATTATACATTTTCCTAAATTATCCATGGATATTACCATATCATATCTCTCATCGAAGTTGAAGCAAACTCGGTCAACACGTTTCGATTTCTGAACGAAATCGATTCATTCAGTAGTAATACATCTTGCATACTCTCCCTCTCTCTCTCTCTCTCTCTCTCTCTCTCTCTCTCTCTCTTTTTTTTCTCTGACAAAATCTTCTCGTGTTTCTTCTCGAAGAATATAGACGTTACCAAGTACAAATGCAGTTCTTCTGTTCTTCTCACGTGGTTAAAAATGATGAAAACTTTTCTAGTGCACTTTCTATAGCTTTTAGCCAGCAGGTATGCGACAAGTGAGAACGTTTCTTTTTTCTTTTTTTTTTTCTTTTTTTTTTTTTTGTCACTCTTTGTCATTGTAATATATCGGCACAGCAACAAAATCGCTTATCTTTATGACAAGTAAAAACCGAATCGTTACTTCCTCGACTTTATTAGATATTATTTATTCACTCTTTGATCATCTTCGTTTCTTACTTCTCATTCTTATAATTTTCTAAATCAGTTCTCCCTTTTTTGTATACCCAGAATCGCGTAATGGTCACTCTTTGATTCATTCACTGTGGTTGCAATTTGTGTTCGGGGAGCTAGTTCACTCCGAAAGTTTCCGAGTTTACACAAACTTCGTGGTGAACTTTTAGGAGAGAGGGGGGTGTTGAGGGGCTGAGGGTAGAAAGAGGCAAGGATTGAAGGGATGGGGTGTTACCACCCCGCCTAACTATCTCGGTACTCGACGATCTTCTAATGCTTTATTTTAAAACTCAGTTTCTACCCCCCCCTCCCCCCCCAGTAGGAGTGTTTGCTTTAAGTATTTACGCCTGATTTGAATTCGTCACGTGTAACTCACCGCGTCAAGAGCAAACTTTTCCTTGGAGGCGTCCCATAGACATTGGAATCATGAGAGAGTACGAGACCATAACTTCTATGGCATAACTTTGCTTGCCTCGTTTTGCGAATCTATAAAAAAAAAAAAAAAAAAAAAGTAAAGTTAAGAAAAGAAAAGAAAGATAAAGAGAAAGAGAGAGAGAGAGAGAGAGAGAGAGAGAGAGAGAGAGGAAAAAGAAAAAAAGGGGAAAAAAACGAAAGGCAAAGCAGATATCTCTAGCGTCATTTCTCATCCGTGTTACGTCGTAGTTGATTCAAATTCGATGCACGATTCGTTGCGCGATTCGATTGAAAGGATCTCTCGAATCTCTGAGTGAAACGACGTAAAATTATGCGACGGTTACCATGCCTTCCAGCGAATCATCTTATTCATGCTTTCTCCAAATGCACGACGAACTCTCCCAGTTCTCTCGGATTTTCCTATCGATACTACGTGAACTCGATTTCACATCGATGGAGAATCGTTTTTATCTTCTTATATAGTTCTTATAAACTTACTATTTCTCACATACCAAGATACAACTATCTATATATCTATATATGAATACATATATACACACACACACACACACACACACTTATACTTATAGAATTTTTAAAATAGAAACTTATAACGTGTAATTATAAATTGATAGATATATCAAGGATTTATCATTGAATTTTCTGATATTTATATATTCGTTGAGAAGACATTATTTTTGTCGAAATGATAAAAGTTTGAGAAATATCGTAGATGCAAAGTTTTTCGACCGAAAGCTTTTATAGATTTATAGATTCGAAAAGGGTTTAAGTTTTTTTGATACTTTAATCGTAACATCCAGCAGGTTATATACGTGAGGAATAAAAGCAGCCAGGCAACATCTTTTAAAGAGAAAGAAAGAGATAGATAGATAGATAGATAGATCGATAGATAGATAGAGACAAAGAGAGAGACAAACAGAGAGACAGAGACAGAGACAGAGAGAGAGAGAGAGAGAGAGAGAGAGAGAGAGAGAGCGAAAGAGAGAAAGAGTATTTTGCCCGTACGTGTTTCCCACAAAGAATTCTGAACACGTAGCGCTTCAGCGGTAACCAATACCCGCGTTAGATCAACCATTAAAATGAATATTTCTGAAATCTCTGGAAAGAGCATATACAGATGTCTATCGGGAATACGTACCGACGAACGAGATTGGCTATCGCGTTTTTCCTTATTTTCATCTCCCCCGTTCGCAAAAAATCTCGGTTCCCGACTGAAAAATTCCCTGTGAGGCTGTCCATACTGGTCTTGGTCCGAGAAACGTACTATGCAGATCAAATTTCTTCCCTTTTTTTTTTTTTCTTCTTCTTTGTGTGTTCCTTCTCTCGTTCTCTTCTGCGTCTCGTTTGCCCGTAAAAATGAAACATCTCGAATCACGCCATCCATATTATATATACTTACTTTAAATTAAATATTAATGGCACGATAACGGTGATGATGATGATAACGTTGATGATGATGACAAGAACTTAATCTCCGATGTTAAATCAAAGAAATTCGTGAAAAGAAAGAATCGTTGAAAATTTCTATACTTAATAAAATAATATTATGAAATTTTATGCTACATTTTAATGTTAAGTATTTAATGTCTTTTGGGAAATGTAGATTCGAGATGTAAGTATTATCTACTATATTTACTACTATGGTTGCCCTGAACGAATCTGATCGTTTCTATTGAAGTAAAATATTTCAATTCTTATAGTGTTTGAATATAAGATAAATGCAATGCGAATATACGACATTATTCATTGATACGGTATAAATAATTTATTGTGAAAATTTTCAAAGGAAATCCAAAGTATATCCTGTCATTTCTTTTTTTCGCAAACAAACTCATCACATTCGTACAAACAAAGGAAACAAGCTTTGCATATTTTTAATAGGGAAAATACGAGAAAGGATATTCAACGCGTTCTTTGTGGTCGACGTTCGTCCTTTGCCTTTCGTTTCTCGTGGGAAAAGATGGAAGAACGAAAAGGATGTCGGTGAGAAAAGGATAGGAAAAGTAGAGATAGAGAATGCATGTGATGCGCATAGCCGAGATGCATGTTAGACAATGGCTTCTGGTTTTGTCGCATCACCTCGTTGCGCCTTTTTCCAGTTTTTATTATTCTCCATCTCCTTTCGTTCTTTTCATGTCCGGCATGGTACATGAGAGGAGTTTCTAGCTGGATCCATACGGAAGAAGATAACTGCGTTTTCCAGAGAAACGCGTTCGAAGCTTTTGCTTCGGAGAAAGGTCTTTGGAAAGAACGTTGGAACGCCAGTGATAAGAATAGAATGAAAACGGAATTAGATAGAATTGAATGGTCGAATGATGCTTGCGACCAGACATAGTGCTTCCCTTCTATAAAACAGAATTTGTGTCCCATTGAAAGTAAAACGTATATTCACGTATATGATATTTCTTCTTCGATTATGTCACATTAGAATTTCTAACGTCCGTTTAAAAAATTCATCTTCAGAGAAATGAAATGGAAGTTTCGTCAAAAGTATTCACTTGGTATATACGTTCGTTGATACACCATTACAGAAAAGTAAATAATAAAAAGAATAAGATAGAGAGATAGGGTAGTAGATAAGGTTTAAAGAATGGAACAAAGTGAAAAGTTTCTAGATAGGAAAATGTATTTTTTTTTTTTTCACGAGGTGTACCATCGTGATTCAAAGAACGCACAAAGAACGTAGAGATGTATTTTTGTTCGAGGCTTAAATTATCATTTGAAATTTTCCCAAATCAGAAAGTCTCTTGATTGGACGAGTATGAATAAGCGCGAATCATTTAACGTTGCCTATTACGTTTTCCTTCGATTTTTTTTCTTTTTCCTCTCGTTTCGTTTCTTTTTTTCTTTTTTCCTTTTTGGCTCCCGGCAAAACAGTTTCATTCATATGCATGACGAAATATACAAGGAGTCGATCTGTTTTACGCAACGATCGCAACAAACGAGAGAAAGAAAGAAACGAAGAAAAAACGAAAAAAAGGAAAAAAAAAAAATGGACAGAGAAGAAGTAGAATATCGTCAGAAACGAAATATCAGGTGTCTTCTAACGAGCCACGATTATTCCTTCGTCTCCGTATCTATCAGCATTCTCCCGATCTTCTGTAAATCAAACAGCACTAGATGCAGATATCGGTTCGTTTGTATCAGCGAGCCTCCTAACCACGATATTGTTTATCGATTCCACGTCATTATCGGCTTTCGTTATCGGAATCCATGTAGATATACGTTACCTGAATAATAGATCGTCACGAGGAACATAGCAATAGTCTGGTATCTACCTCTTTCATCTA